ACAATAAGATGTAGATATTTTTATGTGAATTTGTCATATTACATCAGTATCAACTGTATGCTGTCATCTCTGTTTTCAGTTTTTGATGGTGTAATATATAAAGATAATATCTTCAGATCATTAAACCTCTTCAGCTTCCTGCAAAACATGTAAAGTGTAGCAATTCATAAATGTTTTTAGAATCCACTTGATTCCAACTTCAGATTTACAATATGTTTTGAATTGGAATGCATCAAAGTGGTCTGAAGATATTACATGTTTCCAGTGCTAATGATGTATGTTTTGTTATACAGTCGATTCCGTTTTATTGGGCTAAATCTCAAAGAACAGAAACCAAACTAATAAATTAATACATAATTTAAACACTTAATTGGAACAACTTTTTGCTTAATTGGGACAGTAACAGGAAAAGAATTTAGCAATTTTTGATATATTTTAGGGATCTTCCAAAAATATATCAATACTACATACTCTAATGTCATATAGGTGTAACGGTTGGTGAAGACAAAGCAATTTTGTCTGTCTTTTGCTTGGGAGGTCAGTTTTTTCAGAGGGGGTCAGCATAGCAGGATGTATTACATCAGTATCCCATCTGAAGAGGACCTGAATGCGAGCTACTGACCTTGCTCCGGATTGGATTGAACGATCTCCTTTAAAAGTGAAAGGACAAAGATCCCTGGACAATTTTTTAGGCCTCTTGACCAAGTTGGAAGACAGCTAGCGTTTACTTGAAAGGTGTTATGTGCATGATTACATCTAGACTGAGACAGCAGCCATCTGATTATTGGGACCAGCGTCCGGAGCTGGCAAATTCTACGGATGCACCCATCAAAGTGGCCCATCTCTAAGTAAAGGAAACTGCACTCAAAGAAAAGCTGTAAGATGGCTTTTGGGTAAACCCAAACATGTTCTAACTAAAAAGGGAGAAAGGAAAGATCATTCAATCGGGAATAGATCAAACGGTTAACCCTTGTGTACATCACTACTAATATTTGGCAACACTAGCATGATTTGAATCAGTTATCTATCGTCATGAGTCTGGCAAATTTACAGAACAAATATTTTCTGTATTTTGATTTAATAAAGCATTAAAATAGGTACCTAATTATTATTTATTACCTACTTATTTATTTACCTACGTATTACATATTTTATTGTACAACTTATTATTAGTTCGTTTAATTGGGCCAAAATGGATTAGTCCCAATGTGTCCCAATTAAGCGGAATCAGCTGTACATAGATAATGAATTTGTTTGTCTTTAGTCCACTTCATCTGTTTGTAGTGGTACCATCCTTGGTGGTTAGTAGCTGGATTGCTGCTAAAACACTTTCAGTGGGTTAATTGCATTGTCCATTGTGTAGGAGTGTGATACTGAATTTGTAATGTAGTAGTCTTACTTTGCTTGCCATGCCACTAGTGGTCAAGGAAGGCTGTGGCAGATTTTTTTTAATATGAACCTCTATCTAACTAATGAATGCAGATATTGTTAACTCAGGTCACATCCAAGCCTGTATTACACTATGAAAGTAATAAAATATAAACAGCAATAGATGCCAAATAATAATAAAAGACATAGCTGTCTATCAATGTTAAAAATGTTTAGTACATTTTTCAAAATAGATATGGCCTAGTTATATCCATCTGCCTCATTTTGAAGTAGTCATGCTTGTGAACATCTTACTGATTGAGAATGGATATTCTGTATCACAGATACTATATTAAAAAAGCTTTAAATAGTTACATATGCCAAATATTAATATAAAATGAAACACATATATCACTGTCTTTCAGCATTACAAAAAAAAATTATTTATTTTGCAAGTACTTTTAACAGTCTAAAACTGCCCTCTTCGGGCAGAATCATTATAACAAGACATTTGAATTCTAGAAAAAGAATCTGAACATCAACTAACGTTTTTTCAAAATTGTTTGTCCCTCACATGCATGGAGTTATTATTTAAATTATACATGTACAGTTTACAAAAATTATACATTAATACAAAATACAATGAAATGTAAAATAAGACAACAAGAATAAATGGATTAAAATAAACATAAATAATGAATTAAAAAGTCAATAAATAAACACATAAACATATAGTGGCGCTACTATCGTTAGGTGTTTTATCAGAAACCATGTGATTTAGAACTTTAAAAGGCTAAACAATGCTGTCCACAACTCCAGGTGACAACAATGAGATGTAAAGTGGTTCCCATATAAATAATGTTTTTCAATCCTCACAGCATTTTAGAAGGGAAACTTGTGACCAAATTGGTTCAAAGTTACTTTCTATTGCATTTTTAGCTAACTCTATTGTACACTTGCTACATGCTACATCAATCTCTGGGCGGTGTTCCATACTATAATTACTTGGAAGAAGTGATTCTAGAAACAGTGCATTACTTACTACAGTGTGGCCTAAAAAAGATCTTTCTACATTAATACCACCTACTATTGTGGCAATTAAAAACTGTCAACAGGACTTGCACTCTCACCTGGAAGTATCTGTTTTTGCAAAGATATCTGATGCACAGTGTCTCTACAAACTGTTACTCCATCCAGAAAAAAGAGAGAGTTATCAGACAGTTCTTAAATGCTGAATTTAAGACTTTGTTTTGACAAAGATAAGTGGTTTGTTCTGTGCAGAAATGATGACTTTTTCTGCACAATGATTTCCTCCTATAATCAGAATTTGTGTTAATGAGAGAAAATCCAATCCCTTCAGTGCTGAGAAAAGTGAAAACTTGTCACTTTGCCAGATGTAACATCAGCATTATCTGGATCTCTAGAACCACCAGCCAATGTTGCATGTACTAGACTATTCTTTGAGGTAAAAATGCATAAGTTTACCTGGCCACTGTCTCTTAGTGAATAAGTGTTCCCATCCAACATAATTCCTAGAAAAAGTACTTAGTAGGGAAATTGCTGCTCTTGTGCCTAATTCTAACCTGGTTTTATCTTCTACTCTGGAAGCAAAGTCCTCATAATTAGTAGTGTTGAGGCCATACCTCCAAATTCATATCATTTATTGAAAATAGATATGGTTTCTTTATACCCATCTGTGCCCCATTTTGAGGCAGTCATGCTTGCAAATACATTACTAATTGAAAATGGTTGTTCCATTCCACAAATACTGGTGTTGAGAGAGGCACTTTTACTAATTACTGAGAACAACTATTCCTATTTCAACAGTAATATTTACTTGCAAAAGCACGGAGTACCTATGTGCTCATCCCTATTGGCCATCTTGGCATAATTAGTCATGAGCCATAGAATTTAGTTTTTAGATTCCCACTTACCATACATTATTCTCCCTCCTATATTTGAGGTATGTTGATGACATTCTACTTTAATGGGAAGACACAGATATGGAGTTACTGGCATTTATATGATTACTGTCAGCTATTTTCCTGACTATTTGCTTTATTATGGAGGAGAAGAAAGATGCAAAAAACCTCTTTTGTAGATCTACTTGTATATAGGTCTCACAATGGCATCTTACTTTCTGTGTATCATNAGTTCAACAGACTCACCTTATCTGGATAAGGGTTAAGTAATAATTTTGAATATTCATTTTTATATATTGATATAAATTGTTGTACCAAAATGAATATTAAACTCAAATATCTCTAAAATTAGCTTAGGGTTGCTTATTATAGTAATAAATCTTATATAGACCAAAACAAATTCTTTTGATTGTAATAATTAGATGTTTTTCTGTGAAATTGAATTTTTACTTTTTCTATGAATATCAATTTTACAGTTATCCAGCAAAGAATTATTTGATATGAAATCTATGTGAAATTTGAAAGAAAAGAAAAATGATTATCTGTGATAGGTTTATTTCTCAATATTAATCTTATTTAAATTCTGAAATATATAAATTTAGTGTTATGAAATATAATACAATAAAGTCTGTTCAAAATGGAACCTGAATAGAAGAAACCTGCCTAAATGGAAAAAAATTCTTTTAAAAAAGGTGTTTTCTAGGTTAAATTCTACTGTAAGTTGGAAACTGGGATATAGTGAAAAATTAAAATTCCACTTGAAGACATAAGTAAAATCATCTCAGGTATAACTCATTGCAGAGCATGACAAACTTCATTCCAAAAATGATTTTGAATCTTGTCAAAGAAATGAAGGTCACACAACAAGAGGACATGTGATCTGTTTCTGTTGGAATTAACCAGGGGCAGAATTAAGAACATCAAGAATCAAGCAAGTTTCTGGGAATAGAGTTCTCAAGACAAGCTACAAATGTAATTTGTAAAAACAAAAAGAATTAGGTAGTTCAGTATGTAAATTTGCATTGTACAATGTAGTTAGTAATCAACTAGTACCAAGTATTTGTTACCGTGTATCAATTTGTTAATTGATAATTACAGAAATCAAAGTAAGCAATCAGAGCATTAAAATTCTTCAAGATCACAAAATAACTTGGTCTTTATATTACTGTAATATAATTAGATTTTTTTTTATGGTAGAGCAAGACGACAGTTTTTGGAACTCAAATTGGCTTGTTCACTGTCATGTGAGCTAATAAATGACTGTATTCAAGAAGTATTTGAATGCCTAGCATAAGCTCTTGGAACAAGAATTTTTTGCAATTGAATTGTTTTAAATTTTTGTATCTGAATATGCCCCATGTTTAGTTGGAATCACTTTGGATTAATTTGGATTAAGCCTAGTAATAAAAATGTTTACATATAGTGATTTTACTAAAATGTCACACTGTTATTTTTTTTAATCTGGTATTATTTATAGATTTAAAAGAAAGGGGAAAATACTGAAACCTGAAATTTGCCAAATCAGAGAAAAATATTCAGTATTATGCAATTCCAGTTTACACAGTTTTTAGTGTATATCAAGACACTTTTTTAAACTGAATAAAATACTGTAAATCTACAATTATTATTTATCAAACATATTTAAAATTATTGTTCAATTAAATGTATTTAATCCATTAAATTAACACTTTTATTTATTTTTATTTATAGGATCCCAACAATAAACAATTCATCATTTGTGATGCTCAATTGAAAAAAATCTTTGGTATGTATAATGAGTGTATAATGAATTATGATTAGTGATGCAACGAATAGTATATTCAGCCAGGAGTGTGGCCAAATAGCCAAATATTCAGCTTGATTAACATACGTGCGAAAATTGGCGTGCAAGCCGCATTATGGCAAGGATCGCGCACCCTGCTCTCTATTGGCCCGCTGTCACTACACTTCTCCAATCGTGTTAATTCTTGACAGTTGTAGCGGACAGACACGAGCGTCATGGCAGTATGTTATAAGTGATGATATCAAATGTGGATAACAATGAAATGACCTACACCTATAAATAGAGAGGTTGCAGCTGAAGTTTTCAATGCGAAAACATGTACGTCGGACGTTCAGCACCGCCTTCCTGTAAGCCTAGAAGTTTGACAATGGCATTTGGAATGTCGAGCATGATTCCACTGACATTCCAAACACCATTGTCAAACGTCTAGGCTTACAGTAAGGTGGTGCTGAACGTTCGACGTACATGTTTTTGCGTTGAAAACATCAGCCGCAACCATAAATATGAAATTGAGTTGATAACATAATCGAACAAGTCGAGGCAACTTATTGGTGCGAAATTCGCGGCTGTCAATGCAAAATAATTGTTCTTGTAGACTTCAGAAAGCTAAATGCTGTAATTAATTTAATTAATTATAATTTAATTAATTAATTTAAATAATTTAGACCTACTGGAAATGCATCTGCACGGTAAGCAGGAGTTGCAGGTTTGTGTCCCGCTCTGGGTCGATGTTTTCTTCCAGTAGGTCTAAATTATTTAAATTAAGTAATTAAATTATAATTATTAAAGTTAATGAGATGGTACCTAATGTCTGTCTCTAGTGCCAAATTGGTTTATAATTTATGTAATAGCCATAAATAGCCCGATATGATTCGGCAGTTGTTGGTATTTAGATGTAAGTTAAGTTATTTTATTTGCAATCAATCTTTTTAAGAGGTTTGTGACTTTGGAACAGTACGATGAGTAAAAAAGGTCTTCAGTTTGGGTTTACTTTGAAGAAACTGACGAAGATTCGCGTAATGTGCAGTGCAAAGTATATGATACAAAAATTTCTCGTGGAGGTACGGGGGAAAAAAGCTTTGACATCAGGTTTGATAAATCATTTAAAGAACAAGCACAAGAAGGAGTATTAGAAAATACATAAATCTATCTCAATGGAAGAAAATACAGCGGATGATGTCGTTTCCTGTTCAAGTAAGTCCACAAAGCAATTAACCCTTTACGACTGCCAAGAAAAAACAAAAAATGGGATATAAATAACACTCAGGCTGTGAAATACCATTATCTGATTGCCGAAATGATAGCGATTGATAATGAACCAGTGAACATAGTTGAAAGATCTGGTTTGAAAAGATTGTTAAATGAGATCCTGCCGAGATATGCCATACCGAGTAGACTGTACTTTTCAGAGAAAATAATTCTGGAACTTTATGGAAAAGTAGTAACAAAGATTAAAAAAAAAGCTTGAAGACACAGATTATATATCAGTCACTACCGACTTGTGGACGTGCTTGCAAAACTCTGTCAGTTTCCTCAGTTTCACTGCACACTGGCTTGATAGTGATTTTAACTTGACATGTGCTGCACTTAAATGTAAAACACTTTGAAGGGCAACATACTGCACGAAATATAGCAAATGCTCTGCAAGAAATACTGAGCCGGTGGGAATGCCCTTTATCAAAAATTCACGTCATTGTTCATGACAATGGGCACAATATTGTTAAGGCTGTCAGTGAGGCTAAAATGAATTCTTCATGTTGCTTCATACATACACTACAGTTAGTAATCAAAGACTCTCTCAAAATTCAATTTGAGATCAGAGAAACTATTGCTGTGGGATGAAAAATAGTAACCCACTTTAATCATTAAAGTACTGCACAAGAAAAACTGAAAAAAATCCAGGTAGAGCTGAGAATTACCAAGCATAATTTAGTGCAAGATATAACAACATGGTGGAATTCTACCTTTTATATGTTAGAAAGGCTTGTTGAACAAAAACAAGCTATTTCCCTCTATCTAACTGATACAGCAAACATATCTAATCTGACTGCAGAGCAGTGGGAGATTGTAGACCAATTACTGAAATTATTAAAGCCATTTGAAAAGATAACAAAAATTACTAGCTCAAACTACTCATGCTTATCTGAAATTATTCCCCATGTTGTTACTCTTAACCACTACTGCAACAAGGCCGTGTCTTCTGACCTAGTACCTAAATTAAAATTTATGGTGATCACCATGCAACAAGGGATAAAACAACATTTTTCACAGATTGACGATAATAAAAGCTACCTGATATCAGCTTTGTTAGATCCAAGGTTTAAGACGAATTTCTTCACGAACCAACTGCAAAAAGAAAGAGCCCGGCAGTACATTCTGGTTGAAGATTTAGTTTCAGACTATGATACCAGCAGCGATGAAAGCGTGCGTTCTTCTCCTGTGTAGTCTAAACGTAAAAGAACCAATGAGCCTGGACAAATCATTCACATATCTTTCTGGGAGTGCTATGATGAAGTAGTTGCTGAGAACTTCACCGATGATGCCAGCGGAGTCGGAATAGCTTTTACTTCAAAGAACATCATAGCAGGTGACCTTGATAAGTACTTGAGCATGAAAACTTTAAAGAGAAATGACAGTCCATTTGCCTGGTGGGCTACACATAAATCTAAATTTTCCCAATGTTTAGTCAAACTGGCTGCTAAGTACTTATCAGCTCCTGCAACCAGCGTGTATTCAGAGAGGCTTTTTAGTGAAGCAGGAAACGTATACGAAGAAAAGAGGAACAGACTTCTTCCCAAAAATGCGTAAAAGTTGATTTTTCTGCACCATAACCTACCACTTATTGACTTCAGTTATAATAAATAATTTTGTACAATGAAACAAAAAAGTTAATTTAATTTTCAAGTTTATAATAAAGGATGATTTCATAAGATTACAGATCATTAATTATTATTTTTTTTTTTTCACATTTTATGACCTAAGTTTCAATCTTATGTGCTCACACAGTAAAAATTTTCATACAAATTTTTTACCCTTTTTCACTCTTTTAGGGTTTAATTTCATAAAATCTTTTCTTAGTATGCCTAAACTTTACAAAAAGAACACACCCTCAAATTTTTAAGATTCTAGCACCAGTAGTTTTGGCTCTGTGTTAATTATCCTATCAGGACTTGTTCTTTTATATTCAAGTATATAGATGACTAAACTACATAATAAATAGATAGTTTTCATTTAATTTGTTACCCTTTTTTGATCTCTTAAAAAATAACTTAGTTATATTACTTTTCCTTTGATCTTTTGCATAAATAATCAAAAAATTGCACTTTCTCGAACTTGAAATGTATGTTCAGCATTGATAAAAGTTACCAAAATGATTAATTTACTGTGTTTTGTTATTTCTTACTCCTGTTTTTAGGTATTCATTATTCAGCCGAATAGGCTGAATACTGAATAGTAACCAAATATTCGTTACATCACTAATTATGATAATTTTTAAAATTCTACTTAAATTTTTAAACTTTTGATTACTAATAATAAAATTATTTGATATATTGTTTCTATGATATTAAATTCTCTATGATTAAATAGACAAATTACCATGTGGTCATAATTAAAGTACCTCTATTCATTGTTCTCTAGAGCAGTGGTGCACAAATTATTTTCATTTCTGACCCTCTGGTTTTGTGTAAAATTTTGTTACGAACCCTGGATAGACAGTAGATATTTTTTTAATCATCAACGTAGTTAAAGTGAAATTCTTTCTGGGATTTGCACTTATGTTTCTGCCTTATTAGAGGTCTGAATAAAACACACAATTTCATGAATAGTTTTATTTATGCATATGAGTATAAATATTTATTTAACAAAAAATACTTTTAAAAAAACTTTACATCATAAGAATTCAATGTGAGGTATGTACTTGCAAAGAGCTTGGGATTGCTTCTATGTTCATATCTGTATTGGAAATCGCAAGCCATAAGTCATCCTCTGGATTTAGTGAAGATCTATATTTTGTTTTAATGGCAACTAATTTTGAAAAGCTGCAGCATTATCAGTATCACTATCTGTTCACCTGCCCATTGCTGAAGTATAGGTATTATGATTAATACAGACAATTTTTTTTGTAAAAAAAAATAGTTCTATTTTTATAAATAATATAATTTTATTTCACTATTTTACTGGTACCTGATACATGTTGAAGAAAAGCCTTATATTTTTTATTGTCAAATAAATTTCTTTGAATTTGGTGAACCTGAAAAACATTCTCACAACCCCTCTGGGGATTGCAGCTTGTGCACCACCACTCTAGAGAGCTATTTAGTATAATTAATTTAAATGCCTCAATGTTCTTTTCTTACTAAATTATAAATTTTCGTCTATAAACATGCATTCACTATTATCAGGACTTATTATACTGGCTTAACAGACAATACAGAGTTTCACAAAAAACAATTTTTATTTAATATTTAATATACCTGTACA